AAGGGGCAGGCCTTCAGAAAAAGACTCCTCCATTGCTACTGAGAACTAGTCATTTCGTACAGTTTTTATTTTTTGCTTTTTAAAAAAAATAACTTTTTTTTTCTTTTTCTCTTTCTTCCTCTCTCTTGTTTTCTTATTGTTTTTGTTTTACCTCATCACTTTGCTGCTCAACCTCCATTCACTGAGTGTCTAGACAGATCTAAGGGAACCATAGCCAAACATCCATATACTATTAGGGTTAACATATTCCTCAATATCCACTGAATCTGCTACACAAAGGGATAAAAACAGAACACCAAAGAGATTGCAGATCACCTCCTCTTACACACTCCTGAATGCTCAGACTGAACTTCAAGAATTAGGAAGAAACGCACCATCTATCAGATGACTAGAAATCACCACAGGGTCACAATAAATATGGGAAAGCAAGAAAATACCTGTCCTCCAAGGGAAGAGAATAACTCCTCTCTTCATCCAGACAGTTCAATGGAAATAATGGAAATGTCTGATAAAGAATTTAGAATATTCATAGTGACAAAGTTAACAGAGATGCAAGAGAAGAGAGACAGTAAACTCCAGAAGAGGCCTGGGAATACAGCTGGAGTTCCAGGAGGTAAGGAAGTTCTTGCATGATCTGAAAGAGGAAATACACACCATAAAAAAGAATCAAACAGATCTATTAGAGACGAAGGCTGTAATACAGGAAATCAAAATCTTGAAATTAATAAAAGCAGACTAGATCATACAGAAAATCAAATCTCAGATGTAAAAAACAGAATCACTGGCCTAAAAAATCCACCACAAAGACTCAAAAAATAGTCCTACAAAATGAGAATAGTATACAAGAAATACTAGATACCATCAAACATCCAAACATCCAGATAATTGGTATCCCAGAAGGTTAAGAGACTAATAAGGACATTGATAATCTATTCCATGAAATCCCAGAAGAAAACTTTTCAAACCCAGAGAGGCATTCAAATACCCAGACCCAAGAAATATATAAGACCCCAAATAGAATCAACCCGAGAAGATCTTCTCCAAGACACATTATAGCCAGATTGACCAAAACCACAGACAGAGACAAAGGTACTCAGACTGGCAAGAGAGAAATGACAAATTATCTACAAAGGATATCCCATCAGGCTAACAGCAGACCTCTCATCAGAAACCATGTGAGCAAGGAAAGAATGGGAAAATATAAGGACCAGCAGTTAGTGTAATGGCTATGTTGCTGAACTCCCATGTAGTTGACCATGGTTTGAATCCCAGACTCGGTGGCTTAAACTCATGCTGGGCACGTGTGTGTGCGTGCTCAAGATCCCAAGAGGAGAATGGAGGAGAAGGGATTGTGGCATGGCCATCTCCCCTGGGGGGTGGCTTCTCGCTTTCTATCTCTCTGTCTCTCTCTGTCTTTCTGGCGAGTGCATATTTCCTATAGCAAAAACCTCTAAAAAAAAAAGAATGGGAAAATATATTCTAAGTGTGAGTGAAAACAATCTCAACCAAGAATACTATACCGACAAGATTATCCTTCATGTGGGAACAGAAGACAAGAACATTCTCAGATAAACAAACTCTGAAAGATTTAACCGACACCAAACCAGTTCTCCAAGAAGTTCTGAAGGGAGTGTTATATCAGGAAATCTAAAGTCAGATACACAGAAATAAGAGTAAAAAAGCATCTTTTCTTAGAGGGGGGGACAGCTTAATGGTAGGGACAAGTCCAGATTTGAATATTATCTTCCAGAATTTAAACAGAAAGCTTGGAAGTTAGATTAAGTACATGAGACTGAGCTGATGAAATAGAATTTTATGGCTTTTGACTAAAACAGTACTGATCTTTTTCTATGCTGTGTAATCCAGAGATAAGAATTTTTTTCTTCTCTTGAATTGTCGACAAATCCAGGTAACTACTCTTTGAACAGGATCCTAACCTGTTTCCTGGCTTTAACTCTTAAGCAAAATTCTCTTCACCTTTTTTATATTTTGATTTATTAAAGATAAAACTGCTGGACCAGCAGTTGGCGTAATGGCTATGTTGCTGGACTCCCATGTAGTCGACCGCGG